CTTTACTCTGTTGAGTTATGTCTGATTTGGTTTGAGGCCATTGGTAATCTCAGGATTACTGGCCGGTTACGTCCTTAACCCATAGGGGTGGGTTCGGGTCGTGACATTATTACACCCCTGCACCCTATTTGTCATGACCTGAATTTGCCCTTAGAGTTTTGGATCATAACCGGCCAGTAATCATGAGATTACTTACGGTCTCAGACAGAATCAAATCATATTAAATTATATGGGGGCAAGAAGTGGAAGCATAATTATAAAATTTTGTTCAATGAACTGTGCATATATGGCATAAACAAAAGCATTTTATACGTTAATAACTCACATCCAAACAGACACAAATAGATATTACATATCCAAAGATCATTCACATGTCATCAACATACAAATTCAAAAGCTTATGTACAGGTCGTATGTGACCAACAAAAGAAAAACAAAAGAACAAAGGTAAAAGCCTCATCAATGAGGCACTCCATAGACGACTTCACAAAAACTTGGATAATCTTCCACAGGTTCATTAAGGCTGGATATCCCGCTGCTCACCTACATATATATATATATATATAGCGGAGTAAACTATAGCCTAGTAAATAACATCAGAGTAAAGAGGTTACATGAATAAGTTCCCTTAGCTAACATAATTACTCTCATACTCAAATTCTTGTCATAGCAGAACGACCTCGGGTCCAAAACTTGACAAAATTACCTCTGATCCAACATATAATAAAAGTTCAAAACATATAGATCATACTTGGCAGAACGACCTTGGGTCCAATCAATTAAAGTTGTATTAATGGCCATTTGGTCAACACATAATAGATATTCAGACTTATCAAATATTCAGAATGACCTTAAGTCCATCTTATCAAACATACCGAACGTCTTAGGTCCATCATATACATTTGTATCTCGTCATTCACATTCACCGATATTATGTTGATCGGACAGATAGAATGCTCATTCATATCACAAAATCACAAATTCGGAATAGCTTATCACATTGGAACATTTAAAACATAACGTATATGAAAATATCTTTACTAAGACATTACTCACAGTGATTTGGTTGTTGATACAGCTTCGTGGATGAACCTACACAATTCATAAACATGCACATACTGGGTCACATTACTTGATCGAATCCTTCTTTAACTTATTCATTTATTTTAAGTCTCGTTCTAACTTATTAATTCATTTGGGAAGCTCAATTCATGCCTAAGAATACTTAGAAAGGATTGAGAATGCAAATGTGGTAAGAATGATTTTTCAAAATATGCGGAAACATGACACTTCGCTTGAGCGCACTTTTGGTCGCTCGAGCGGACTGCATGGTTTGCAAAACTACTAGATGGTCAGATTCTAGGCTTGATGGTCGCTCGAGCCAAGGTGTAAGGAAAACTGAGGTCGCTCGAGCGGTCACTCAGTCACTTGAGCCATGTGCAAAGCTCTGCAAAAATGCTAGATGAATGAAATGTTCGCTCGAGCGACAACTACTTCGCTTGAGCAGTTTGGTCGAATTCTGGATTTCCAAAACATAATTTTGTGTTTCAAAACTTGAGTCCAAAGTGTGAAACTTGCAAAAACTCTTGCATGGATTAGTCTATAGCTTGAAAACACTTAGAAAAAAAAAGAACATGTAACCAATATCAAAACCTTAGCTCAAAAACTTCATGATTTTGCAAGAGAAAGTGGTTTGGATATCAAAAGGATGAAAGAATGGAATAGACCAGCTTTGTTAAGGCACCTATGGGCTATCTGTAAGAAGGAAGATATCTTGTGGGTTTGAAGCTTAAACTTCATGCATGTATGATCTTGCCTTAAATTCTTCTTCTACACTTTTCAAACACATGGAATTGAGCTTCAAAATAACATAATTCATGGATGCATGTATGATTCAAGTCTCAATTCAAGTATAGGTACAAGATACTTTTCGTATAGGTAACAAAATACTGTTCGTATTTTTAATGGTACTAATTTCATTAAAATCATATTTATATTTTAAAAGTTATATATTTTTTACTAAATTTTTTTATATATTATTATAGAAGTGGGTGCATATTTTAGAAGTTATATATTTTTTACTAAAAGTTTTATGTATTATGAAAGTAGGTGTAAATATTTGACAGAAAGAAAGAGAGGGAACTGTAAGAGAGGAAATAAGAAGGAAAAATTACAAATAAGTGGTATTTTTATAAAATATTTAAAAATTTATAATTTTAATAATTAAAATTGATAAATTTTTTCACTTGTAAATTTTTTGAAAATTTGCACTGAATTGCATTCTCCAAATAAGAAAAAAGAGAAAGAGTGACGTGTAATTGAAAGGGATGAAAAAAAAAAAAGAAGAAATAATAATAATAAAAGACAAACAAGAAAGGAAAATTTACTCATAATTTCTATTAAAGAAAAGTATAAGTCTCATCCTAGAAAAATATGTAGCGGAAAATATGATAAACTTTCTTCTAAATTGTTAGTCTCATTGAATTTGAAAAAGTACACCGTAAGGTCTTTTCATTATATTTCTTGAAAATTTCAAATGTGAGTATGTTTCATTTATGCATTATTATTTTATTAAACTTTTGTTAAATGTGTCATTCTTAAAATGTGACAATAAGACATCACTTTAATATATGTATTATTGTCTTATTAAACTTGTCAGATGTGTCACTCTTAAAATGTGACAATGAGATATTATTCTAATATGTGTGTTATTATTTTATTAAATTTTTGCCGAATGTTACATTCTTTTTAAAAAATGACAATGAAATATTTGTGTATTATTATCTTATTAAATTTTTACAAAATGTCATTCTTAAAATACGATAATGAAATATCATTCTAATATTTCATTATTATCTTATTAAGATTCTAAACATGGGTTTGCTTCACTTGAGAAATTTTAATACAAGATAGGACTTACTAGTACACAAGAATATTTATGAGATTAAGGCCAAATTTAGGAAGACTAAAAAAAGTGCACTTTTTATCTTTTTGGACTAAAAAATTGAGGTTGAAAATATGGATGTTTGGGTTAATTTTTTGACTTTTTATTGAAAAATGTGTAATAAAAAATTATGTGTAATAAAAAATTATAAAAATTGGTTTGTAGAGGAAAATTAGAATTGGGAGTTGTGCAGCCATAATTGTTGACTTTTGGTGAATAGTGTTAACTTTTTAACTTTTTGAGTAACTTTTTGACTTTTTGACTTTTTTGAAAGTACCCAAACTTGACCTAAATGATTCACAAGTGATGAATATAGAATTTAATAATAAATACCTAAAAAAGAAAAAAAGTATATGGCACATTTCTCAACAAAAAAAAAGTTATATTTTTATAATTACTTTTTCAATCTCCACTCTTATCCCTTGTTTGATTTTGATTGATTTTTTAAAAATTAAATTTTCTCTTTTTTTGTATTTTTTTAATTTTTAGTGAATTTTTTTAATATTTTAAATAATTTTTTTACTATATATATACACATACACCAAAAAAGTAAAATATTTATATAAAAAAAAATTAAAAAATTTAATAATACATAAGAATATGAAAAGTATCTTGAATTTTTGTATTTTTTAATATTTTTATATTTAATGAATTGTTTTAAAAAAAAAATCTATAAATATTATATTTTTTTGAATGTTATAAGTTAGTTGTATTTAAAAAAAAAAGATTAAATATTAAAATTTTTGATTAAAAAAATATAAAAAAATAAAAAAACTCACTTTTCTAGAAGGTGGGCTCAATTTTTTAAAAATGAGGTCTCGTTTGGGAACATGCTAATTTAGTAACTTTTTGACTATTTGGCTAAAAAGGTAGGTAAAAAAAACTTGTATGTTTGGGATGACTTTTTGGCTAATTACGAAAAGATGTGCAAAAAGTAGAGAGAAAAGAGAATCTTTAACTTTTTGGTATGAGTTGTTGACTTTTTGACTAATTTAGTAACTTTTTAGCTAATTGGCTAAAAAAGCAAGTCCCCAAACGTCGTAGTCCAAATAAAGTCTCACTCCCATTTTTAATTTGCAATACTTAATGATTTAATGAATTATTATTATTATTTTTTTAGTATAAATAGAATTCCAACGGTAAGAGTATTTCTATAGCTTATTTATTTATTTTTATGAAATTTGAGTAAAGGTTTGAGTTAAAAATTTTATTTAATATCAAGCATTTTAATAATAAATTTTCAAATTTCATCCAATAATTAGGCGATCAAAAAGAACACTGAAAGGATATTCAAACGATCGATCGACTTAGGTAAATTCCCTCCATTTTTACAAGCACAAATTTGGTCAGGAATCGGTCGAATAATCAACCGATTTATCCGGTGTATTGTGACTCCCCGATGATTAGATGCAACAATAATGGCTATCTTTTTAGTTTGATGAAATATTTAAACCTCTCTCAATTTAATAATTTATTTATTTATTTTTTAATAAAATTGTACTGATTTCATCCCACTTAAATTTGCTAAAAAAAAACCCTAAGTGACGCTCTACGTAGTGAAAACAACCACAATTTTGATACGGTATGGTAAGAATTTCAGACGCTAGTAAGTAGTGAAAGCAGAGTTCTCTGTCTAAAATCGAAACCAGCGCAGGGCGTTGGGCGCTCTCTCTGTCTCTCTCTTCATCTACAATTTGCTGATGCTTCATTTTACTTTTCTCGCTTTTTCTCGTGTAGAATCATCAGATACCCGTTCTGTGGTATCTATCATCTTTGGATGGGGTTATCACGGGATTCATTTCGTTGCACCTCTCTCTCTCTCTCTGTGTGTCTCTCTCTCTGGTATGCATTGCTAGGCTCTGCTTTTCTTCTTCTCCATTCTTCTGATTTTGAGTTGATGGTGATAATGCTGAAGCCCAATTTGATCCGTGATTGTGGTTGAAACTCTCAGTTGATTGATTTCACGTGCTTTTTATTAACTCTTTGGTTGATTGATTAATTGATTGATTGTGGAGCAGAGAGAGAGAGAGAGAGAGAGAGAGAGAGAGAGAGAGAAATGGGGAGTCGCAACATGGAGAAGATAGCATCAAACTCAATTGATGCACAGCTGAGGCTTTTGGCACCTAGGAAGGTATCTGAAGATGACAAGCTGGTAGAGTATGATGCTTTGTTGTTGGATCGATTTCTTGATATTCTCCACGATTTACATGGACACCAAATTAGAGAAACGGTAATCATTTCTAATTTTATTTTCTCCTCCACATTTTTTTTAAAAAATTTTTTAATCCTTTTTTTTTTAAATAATAAAAATAAGGGCAAAATTTGAGAGTTGAGGATTATTTGAAAAATGTTAAATTAATGTACTTTTTAGTTTTTTACGAAAAACGTGAAATGTGAGTTGAGTTTAAAGTGATGTGATAAAAAGGTAATATAATCTAAATAAGATGATTACGATTTAAATAGGATAATATACTAAAATAATATGTGCTATGTGCTATTTTAACACATACCAAACAAGCACTTTGGTCATGACCTTGCGACTGTGAGATATTTGATTCTTAATTTTGAATATCGTTTTAAATAAAGATAATTTAACAAATTGTTGTTTAATTTTAAGACAAAATCGTCAATTTAATAAAACGGCTGTGATTGAGACCCCTTGAATCACCAACCCCCACCACCGCCTCCCCTCCCCATATACACACACGTGGCGGGTGGTGATTGGAGGAGAAAGAAAAAAAGAAAAAGAAAAAGAAAAAAAGAAAAAGAAAAAGAAAAATTGTCCAATCAAGAGAGAGAGGGGGTTAAAGGGGTGGGGGGAAGGGGTCTTGATCATTTTTCTTAATAAAATATAATTTAGTTTGACAAAAATAAATATTAAAAATTATTTTACCTTTAAAAAATAAAATTATATAAAAATGATAACTCTTTTATATTTTTATTTTCTTACCAAATAAATTAATTTTTAGTATGTGTTTGGACGATGATCAAATAATGGATGGTTATTTTTATTAATGTTTTTGGATGGTTATTATGTAATAGATGGTTTTCTTTGTTGTTAAGAAATATTTTTAGATGGTTATATCATGTAATTGATGGTTATTAAGTTTTTAATGGGTAATCGATATGTTTAATATATGAAACATTTTTAGTTTTAGATTTTTTTTATTTAATAGATTGGTTCAATAATGATATCAAAATTGTCGCCATGTTTGACTTTGAAAAAATGGAAACTAATTTAATGAAAATAAATATAAAAAATCTTTATTTAAAACAATTATTTCTACTCCCTCAAACGATAAAATTATATAAAAATGATGTATTTTTAATTTTTCTTTACCAATTTAATTTTTAGTTTCTTAGAATTTTTTTTTTTTTGAAAACAAAATCTGAAAATCAAATCAAACAGAACTTTATAACTAAAAAAATTTCAACATTATTTAGTAAAAAAATGTCATTACATTTCAAACAACATATAAATTAACTAATACAAAATAAGTTACATGACGAAATAGACCGTTTGCAAAAAAAAAATCTTTGATTGTCCTTGTTTGGAATAAGATTCAAAATTTAAAATCAAATGTATCACAATTGAAAAATCAGGATTAAAGTGATACAAATTCAAATTACAGGATTGTTAGTATAATTCGTCCTAAGAATAAGTATATTTGCCTTGTGCGTTTAAATTTAATGGAAAGATATAGTTAGCTATTCGACTGCAATTCCCTATCTTTTTGGGGGTTTTTTTATTTTTATTTTTTAGTTATATATATATATCCATTTTTTATTTACAGAGAGCATAGAAGGCAAGGCATGCCCACTTCCTTCCACTTGAGAGATTTTGATGACTAGAATTAATTATTCTTTTTCTTTTGCTAGTTTCCACTAACATTTCAATAAAGAATATATTTGTTAATTTGCTTAGTGGTTTGTTTGTAAAGATACTATCTCAGTTTCTGCTCTTTCCTTTCTCCCTTCTTGATTTGTTGTCTGAAACTGAAACTGTACTCATCCTAGTAAAATGCCTATGTTTCAATATGTATGTTCTGTGTGAAAGACAACTTGTTTTAAACAATGTCAGTTTAGGTTAGTGTAAGTTTCTTGTTTCTTTGTCTGAATGAAAAACCAGTCTCTAAAATTCATTTTTGAACCTTTGTTAAGCATTAGTTGTGCCATAAAACTCATTTAATAATGAGATTGGAAAGTGGGGACAATTGCCCAGAGGGATTTCTTTCTGGTGGTGAAATGATTGAGTTTATAACTTGTTTTATAGTGTGTTGTTGTAATGTCATTATATGATATGATATTTATGGATTGATTAGGTTCAAGACTGCTATGAGCTTTCCGCCGAGTATGAAAGGAAGCTTGACCCCCAGAAATTGGAGGAACTCGGGAATGTGCTGACAAGTTTAGATGCGGGTGATTCTATTGTAGTTGCTAAATCTTTTTCCCACATGCTTAACTTAGCCAACTTGGCTGAGGAGGTTCAGATAGCTTATAGACGAAGGATTAAGTTAAAGAAGAAAGGTGATTTTGCTGATGAGGCATCTGCGACAACTGAATCAGACATTGATGAGACCCTCAAGAGGCTTGTGGTGCAGTTGAATAAGTCCCCTCAACAAGTTTTTGATGCTTTGAAGAACCAGACAGTAGATTTAGTCCTTACGGCACACCCCACTCAATCTGTCCGTAGATCTTTGCTTCAAAAACATGCAAGGTCTCTGTTCTACTTCTACAATAATCTGCAATCCTAGCTAATAGTTTGCAGCTCTCCGGTTTGCTATTATTATTATTATTTATTGATTTTTAGATGTCCAATGGTCGGGTCACTTGTAATTCATTTTTAACATGGTACATATTTTCTTTTCTTGGTTTAGGTTTTTATTGATGTTTAATTTTTCCTCTTTTATAATTTTCAGAATTCAGAATTGTTTGACCCAGTTGTATGCCAAAGACATCACTTCTGATGATAAGCAGGAGCTTGATGAGGCGCTACAGAGAGAGGTATGTATTTTGCTTCAGATTTTGGTTTGTTTCTCCTGCTACTCCATATATTCCATCCTTCCCCTCCAAAAGGCGAATTTAGTAAATTACCGAATATAATAATACTTAGGCTAAGTGGAGGCAGGGTATGTTCATTATACTTTTCATGATGCATATGAATACTAATTCGATGACCTATCAATTATATCTAGAAACAAATCAACTTTTTTACTTTCCTACCTTCTTGATTGAAAAGAAAAGACAAAGAAAAAAGAATTGGATTGTATGTGAGAGATTCGGGAATTGTATATATATATTTTGATAAATATTTGGGAATTGTATATTTAAATCTAGTTATTTTAATTTAATATATCCAATAATCTGAAATTAGGTATTATGAAAAAAAATCATGAAAATGATCATAAAATATTCTCCACCGTCAGATTACATATGCAAGAAAACACCACATACTAATTAAAGGATGAAAAATCTTCATGAACCATTTCATGATATTTTTTTCATGATCCCTAGTATTATTCTTTTATCATATCAAATTAGTCAATCCAATTTTCTATTGGATTTGGATTTGGATTTGGATTTGGATATGTGATTTTTATTTTTATTTTTTTTCTAGTAAATGGTCAAAAACGGAGGAATTACAGATTTACATTACAAACCTATATCATCATCAGTCAATCTAAGGACTGATATACTAATATAAGTGTCATGCCCCAACCCGTCTGTAGAGGTTAGGGAGGTGACCGGACAGTTTTATAGATTACCTACGGCCTAATTTGACATTTCATAAAATATTTAATATAATGGAGCCAGGAGTGGAAGCATTAAATAACACAATCCAGTCCATTGAGCAGTGCGTATATGATACAAAGAAACAGAACATTCTTTATATTAAATAGAACTTATAATGTACCACCCTTCAGCTTTACAAACACAAGTGCAAAAAGTACATGACATAACAAACTTGACAAAAACAAAAGCAAATAAAAACAAAAGCTTTCACTTGGAGGCACAACTTCAAAAGGTTTCTCAAAACAGGGTACACTCCAATGCAGACTTAACCCATGAAACTAATTTAGCATCACTTTACCCATGAAACTGCTCAAAAATTTAACTCGATGGATTCAAATTGTAGTTCTCAACCATTCAATATTTCACATCAACTATCTAAAATAGGCAATCATTCAACTTTAAAAGTAGGGGTACAATCATTGTATTAATAATCAATCCCAAAGTAAAGTACAATAAAACAAAGTTACTTGGCTAGGGTTTCATCTACACCCTGAGGAAGAAGATTAGTTGCCCATGGAGAAGGTGAAGAACTCCATCCTTGGAACCTTGGGTTTTCTCCCTCTTGCCCCTTTTGCTGCCTTTGGTATGTAAAGAACCCCTTTTATGAAGGCTAGGTCATCCCTTTGTACTCCTATAACCATTAGGGTTGAAATGGGCTAAAAAAAGAGCATAAAAATCTACTTTCCATCACGAAGGCCCATATAACCTGCACAACGGACAAATTCATTAAAAATCATTAAATAACAATCAATATAGACTTAACTAGTGTAGTTTAGGGGATCTCAATGTATATATTTTGGCACTTATCATAGTACATGTTTTTCACTGAAGTTAGAGGTAATTACGTATCAATGATTTTAAATTTCTTCCACTTTGTCTCACAATGTAAATGGGAAGATTGTGGATATAACCATAATGATTGATATTGTGGTTTTATTTTCGAAATTTTGTTTGTGAAAATTGTATATATAATTTTCGCACTTCTATAATAGAACAAATACAAGTTAAAGTTCAAAGATTTAACCTTCTCTTTATCGTCACACATGAACAACTCATTGTAATTTCTTTTGTCAACATCTAAACCCTGAAATTTGGGCAATATATAAACCACCTTAAAAAAAAAAGAAAAAGAAAAAAAAAAAATTTTTTAGAAACAAATGTTTCACAACAAATTGAATATTCGGTGTCATCGAAATGATACAAACTTCTTTTTTATTTTATTTTATTGCTTTTGAGTCCACTTGAGAGAATACTGTATACATAATAATAACTTCACTTTTTCTTTTTCTATATTGAAGACAAAATACATGAGAAACACTCAAAATTCATAAAAAGAATTTGAATGCAAATTTTCAAACATCTTAGATGTACTGATATATTCTTAAAAAAAAAAAGAAAAAGAAAAAAAAAAAAAATTTTGGAAACAGATGTTTCACAACAAATTGAATATTCGGTGTCATAGAAATGAAACAAACTTCTTTTTTATTTTATTTTATTGCTTTTGAGTCCACTTGAGAGAATACTGTATGCATAATAATAACTTCACTTTTTCTTTTTCTATATTGAAGACAAAATACATGAGAAACACTCAAAATTCATAAAAAGAATTTGAATGCAAATTTTCAAACATCTTAGATGTACTGATATATTCTTAACTCATTTTCAAAATTATTTGTTATGAAGTACATGGTTCAAATTAATCCATAGACATGCAAACTAAAAACAAGAGTTGTCTACTTTTCAGAGATGATGGCAGGTTGATAATTTATTAAACTCTTGTTGGTGTTTTTTTTTTTTGTGTGTGTGTGTGTGTATTTGTGTGGATAGAAATAAGATGACTTGTGGAAGATTCTTTTCTCAATCTATGCTATTGTGACCTTCAAAAAAGTAATCTAACATAGGCTTATAAAATCTAAGGGTGTTTTTGGTTTGTGTTTTGAGATAAATTTTCAAAAACATTTAGGGGAGAGAGTTTAGAATTTTTTTTGATTTGTTTGGTTGTATATTTTGAAAATAGTTTTAGAGTTTTGGAGTTTGGGATGATCTGATATTTTGTTGTAGTTGAGTAGATGTGTGTGAGAGAAAAAGTGATTGAGAATGTGAGAGGATATAGAAAAAGTGATTGATTGATGTGTAGGAGAGAGTGATTTTAGAAATTCTTTTCAAAAAATTTAAACCAAACAAAATTTTGAAAATTTTTCTCAAAAATTGTGTCTTCAGATACAAACCAAACAAGCCCTAAGTCTAATTACATAGATAAAAATTGGGTGAAATGCTGAATAGAGAGATAAAAAAAAAAAAAAAGCATAGGCAAGCAGTGTTGTTATATTGATCACTCAAACCGGAACAAAAATGTTGTCTTGCCCTTGTCATGTGAAAGGAGTGATGCATCCTTTGGAGGCAAACCAGTTTGGTATTTGATTGAAGGAAAAAGCAGCATTAAGCATGCATTTCAAAGTAGAATCAATCGATTCACTGACTGTTAATAGCATGCATGTTTGATTGATAATTACATAAAGGAACAAAAAGAATTACTGAAAAAATATCAGCCAATATAATGTGATGGCGGCAATTTTGAAATTATAAATCACAATGAATGATGTTTAAGTTGAAAATAAAAGGAAAATAAAAGATCATATCTTTGTGTATATAAATTTTGTATAGAATTTATGTTTGTATATCACTATCCTTATGTTTATTTCACTTGAGTGAAAATGGAATGCTCATTTCTCATCCTTCCTACAAAATTACCATTCACTTACAATGTTAAATCATAATTCCATTTGCAATATATTTTTCATCATTTTTTAATTGAACCAAACGTGAGAATGGACATATTCATTCTAATGAATCAAACACTACCTTACAAAAATAAAAAATAAAAAAAATAATATTTGATTTACATACTGATAAAGAAAAGTGCAATCTTCATGGCCTCATATAGAATTTGGGATCTTTTCGAGGGAAAAAAAAAAAGTGACTTCAAAATTTGAATAGGTAGAGATGCCATACAGATGAACTGTTTTGGGATATATTGTGTTCAGTACGAATTGTAGGAAATGAAACATAGTTAATAGAGAGGGATATGTTTGTATGCTTCACACATTTTCAAGGAGTCACAATGGTTAGTGCTTGACTGTTATTATTGAGAGAAGGCATTGACATTGTGACAATTGTGAAGGGTATCTTTGGAAACTAAAAGAGTAGAAAACACGCCAAGGGCTTCACTCTTTTATTGTAGAGATAACTTTTCTTTTCATTTTCAATTTTGTTTGTTTGGTTACACATTTTTTTTTTTAATTTTTTTAATTTTATTTTGTAGGAGGGTAGCTCTCTACAATTTGGTTAGGTACTTGAAGGAGAGCACAAATTTGACAAATCCATGTCTCTCATGTTTCACTTTTTTTTTTTAAAAAAAAGTCGGAGCTCTATGATGTGTTCTAATCCTCATTGGGCTTGTTCATCATGAGTAAAAAATAAAAATAAAAATAAAAATATAAAAGATGAAGAAGAAGAAGACATGTATATTACCATGTAAGCAGTGTTAATGTGGTAGAGCTCTACCCTGTGCCCCCATGTTAGGAATGGCAACGGGGCGGGGCGGGGCCGGGGACGGGGACTACTCCCCCCGTCCCCGATCCCCGAAATTTATATGCACCCCGTTCCCGTCCCCGATCCCCGACGGGGACCCAAAGCCCGGCCCCATCCCCGCCCCCAAAAATCCCCGGTGACATTTTTTTTTTTTTAATGTAAAAATCTGTAAATAGATTAAAAAACATCCTGAAACATCCAGTTTTACAAAACATCCTGAAAATCCATTTTCATCCTGAAACAATGGATTAAAAATCTGTAAATTGATTACAAATCTGAAGCAACATCTGTAAATTGATTAAAAATTTGAAGCAACATTTTGTTGCCAACATACAAAACATCCCGAGGCAACAAAAAAATTTGTAAAAATCTGTAAATGTAAACATCCTGAAGCAAAATACAAAACATCAATAAACATCCATTTAAATCCTGTAAAAAAAGTGACTTCAAAATTTGAATAGGTAGAGATGCCATACAGATGAACTGTTTTGGGATATATTGTGTTCAGTACGAATTGTAGGAAATGAAACATAGTTAATAGAGAGGGATATGTTTGTATGCTTCACACATTTTCAAGGAGTCACAATGGTTAGTGCTTGACTGTTATTATTGAGAGAAGGCATTGACATTGTGACAATTGTGAAGGGTATCTTTGGAAACTAAAAGAGTAGAAAACACGCCAAGGGCTTCACTCTTTTATTGTAGAGATAACTTTTCTTTTCATTTTCAATTTTGTTTGTTTGGTTACACATTTTTTTTTTTAATTTTTTTAATTTTATTTTGTAGGAGGGTAGCTCTCTACAATTTGGTTAGGTACTTGAAGGAGAGCACAAATTTGACAAATCCATGTCTCTCATGTTTCACTTTTTTTTTAAAAAAAAAAGTCGGAGCTCTATGATGTGTTCTAATCCTCATTGGGCTTGTTCATCATGAGTAAAAAATAAAAATAAAAATAAAAAAGATGAAGAAGAAGAAGACATGTATATTACCATGTGAGCAGTGTTAATGTGGTAGAGCTCTACCCTGTGCCCCCATGTGGACCCTTTTTTGATGGGTAAAAGCAGTTCACAAAGGCACTACAGAACTGCTTATAGTTTGTTCAACACAGCTCTAAATATAAGCATTATGATTGTTTCGCATTCTTTTGGTTTTGGCATTGGACTTGTTTCAAAACTGGTCCATGTCAGCTGGGAGATACTGAGAGACTGAATTTGCATCATCCATTTTCTTCAAAAACATGAGACTGGCACATCAGATTTAATGCTCAGAAATGTTTAATAGAATGAAGAAAGCTGGTTTAGTTTGTTCAATGACAGCAAGTAAACCTTGCTTCTTCTAATGTGTTAGATGTTCATGCTTAATGGATGAGATAATTTACTAAAGAATGAACCATATGATTTTAGTAATTTTTGCTATGGCAGACTGGCAGTACACCCATCTTAAAGGTCATGTTCTTCTTGGGTTAGAACCTAGATCACTGACACAAGCATTTGCATGGCGAGGACCTTGTCATTTATGAAAATTTGTCTAATTTCAAATAGTGAACACAAATTTATTTATTTATATGTATTTATCTAGTTAACATGAATATGGATTTTATTTTTATTTTTAATGTGGGACTTTTATAGTGTACATCTAGTTGGGTTTAAATTTCTGTATCATTCTGTGCATAATCGTACTTCTTAATCCACCCTTGATCTCGTCATGCTAACATATAACTAGTTTTGAAGTGTGTTTCATGTATAATTTCTCATGTACTTCAAGATATTTAACTTACATTAAATAATAATAATAAAATAATAAATAAAAGAAAGGATAAAAACATACTTTAACTTACTTTTTGTTTGGGCATTGGATATTTTGAAGTAGTTTTATACGTTTTGGGAAGACTTAGTATTCATAAATAAAAAAAGGGAGCGACCCAATGAATGAGGCTTCCGCTAAAGCAAGGGTTGGGAGAAATAATTTTTTGTTTTGCATTGTGTCATTTTCATTCCTTTCTCTTTGCTGTGTCATTAACATATGTTCCTTACCATCAGATACAAGCTGCATTTCGTACTGATGAAATCCGGAGGACCCCTCCAACTCCACAAGATGAGATGAGGGCAGGAATGAGCTACTTCCATGAGACAATATGGAAAGGAGTTCCAAAATTCTTACGCCGTGTTGACACTGCTTTGAAAAACATAGGGATAAATGAGCGTGTTCCCTACAATGCCCCTCTAATTCAGTTCTCTTCTTGGATGGGTGGGGATCGTGATGGTATGATATAATCCTTCTTTATTTGCATAGTCTTTTTCATGTACTTGATAGTTGAAAAATATAAGATACCAATAGCATCAATGTTGATACATTATTTTTAAGAATTATGGAAGGAAATGTGGATACAAGATAGTCAGGGAACACATACAATGCCATGCTATGCTTTCCATTATCTTACACTTTTGTTATGCTATGATCTACTTTGGCGTTGGTGGGCTGTAGGAAATCCAAGGGTAACTCCTGAAGTTACAAGGGATGTATGCTTATTGGCTAGAATGATGGCTGCGAATTTGTACTTCTCTCAGATAGAGGATCTTATGTTTGAGGTATCGATCGAACGACTCCTTCCACTATTGAAATCTCTCTTTTGCCTCTTTCTTTTGTTTGGTAGTTTTCTATTGATTAATGGATTTCTCACATGCATACTTTTCCATTGTTTTTTCTTTTTTCAAACATTTCTTGGCAGTTATCGATGTGGCGTTGCAGTGAAGAACTTCGTGCTCGTGCAGATGAACTTCATCGCTCCTCAAAGAGAGATGCCAAACATTATATTGGTGTGCAATCATGTCTCCAGATTTGTTTTCAACTTCCATTTGAAACTGTTTATAAATTTAAAAAATGGAACTTTTTTTAATCCTTCTACTTTCCATTCTAGCTTGAATACCTGCATCATAAAAAAATGACTTTAGATAGTTCAAGTATTCAGTATTTCATCAAAATTCAAGGTCTTCTTGCATTGTCATCATACACAATGTAATAAAGTTATTTTTCTCCATTTTACTTATAATATTCCAATTTGTTCTTTAAACAAAATTTATTTGGTTCTTGTTAATGTTTTGTTCTCGTTAACATCTTGTTCATGCAGAGTTTTGGAAACGAATTCCTCCAAATGAGCCCTATCGTGTTATTCTTGGCGATGTAAGGGACAAACTTTATCATACACGTGAGCGTGCTCGTCAGTTGTTAGCCAATGAGATCTCTGATATTCCTGAGGAGGCAACTTTCACTAACCTCGAGCAGGTTTATCCATCTCAACCAACTTTATCAATTCTTCTTATGAAGAAGACATGACTATTGTATTACCAACCCTACCCCTATTTCTTGCAATCTCAGGAAATAAACTATTTATATTTGGTAGGTATAATACGGTTGTGGTGAGATGCACAGTTATAGTCTTGCTTAAGTAGTTGTTTGGTTTGTGTATTGGCTTTTTTTTTCCTGAATCAGTCTTGCATCTATGATTTATTTCTACTGATCAGTCTCCTGTACCACATATAGGTCACTCTTGTAGTCTTATCCTCTTCTTTTTAAGAGAAAAATAAATTCATGTTATTGAAGTTCAGAATGATGTATTGAACAGAGAAAGGAAGAAGAAACTAAGAAAATGGTTTACAAGATCATCTGGATAAAAGTAGGAGAGACTCTCTCCCCCTCAAAATTTTTTTTTTCCTTTTCTTTTTTATTTGATAGGTAAGTACGAGGCTTCTCAATTTGATGTCATTTAGTTAGGCTATATTTGTAACCTCTACTCCAATAGACTAACAGTCCTTTGGAGATATCTTTATTACTCAATTACAATGGTCATGTATAAAAATCAGTGACTGGTTTAGTGACAATAATGTTAGAATGTGTTCAAAATCGCCTGTAGTTGTCTCATCTGTGCTGATTATAAGGCTCTAGGTGTGGGATGGGCTTTTTAATTTGGTATCAGGACTTGGTTGGGTCTGTGATTGGTGTGCCGTTTGTCTGGCTGCTGTATGTTGTGATTTAGGAGGGTGTTTTGGAATGTATCCCACATCGCCTGGAGTTGCCCCATTTGTACTGATTATAAGGCCCCAGTTTCACTTTCCTTAATACCCGGGTTTTTTAAGGAGAAGTATGGCTAAGCTTTTCAATTAATAACGCGACAAATTCCATAAAAATGTTACATGTGACATGCAATTGGGGCAACCTTGGTGCATAGGCACAGGCCTAGGCAAACAGCAGTGGCAGTGCTTGGGCTTTTTCAAAACTTGTGATAGTTTTAGGTTCCCAGAGAAATTTCTATTTTGAAGTGGACCAACATAGCAGTAATAGTTAACTTATATTGTTATGCTTTGACAGCATCTGCCCACCCTCATGCCTGTCCCTTTCCGTGATGTGAATAATAGATAAATTAATTACATTGAAGAGAGAAAAAATAAAAATTACTTTTCTTATTGCTTTTCAACCCCCCCCTCCCCTTGCAGTTCCTGGAGCCTCTCGAACTTTGTTATAGATCACTTTGCACTTGTGGTGATCAGCCAATTGCTGATGGAAGCCTTCTTGATTTCTTACGGCAAGTTTCTACCTTTGGACTGTCACTTGTGAGACTTGATATCCGGCAAGAATCAGATAGGCACACCGATGTCATTGATGCCATTACTAGGCACTTGAAAATCGGATCCTACAGAGAATGGTCGGAAGAACGCAGGCAGGAGTGGCTCTTATCTGAACTCGTTGGGAAGCGCCCTTTGTTTGGTCCCGATCTTCCCAAAACTGAAGAAATTGCTGATGTTTTGGACACTTTCAATGTGATTTCTGAACTTCCCTCAGATAACTTTGGTGCCTACATAATATCAATGGCAACTGCAGCGTCTGATGTGCTTGCTGTGGAGCTTTTACAGCGTGAGTGCCATGTCAAGCGGCCATTAAGGGTTGTCCCATTGTTTGAAAAACTTGCAGATCTTGTTGCTGCACCGGCTGCTATGGCTCGTCTCTTTTCAATAGATTGGTATCGAAATCGGATCAATGGGAAGCAAGAAGTCATGATTGGTTATTCAGATTCGGGTAAGGATGCTGGTCGTCTCTCTGCTGCATGGCAGTTGTATAAGACCCAAGAAGAACTTATAAATGTGGCCAAGCAAAATGGGGTGAAGCTTACTATGTTCCACGGTCGAGGAGGGACCGTTGGAAGAGGAGGAGGTCCCACCCATCTCGCTATATTGTCTCAGCCACCTGACACGATTCATGGATCACTTCGTGTGACAGTTCAAGGTGAAGTTATTGAACAGTCATTTGGGGAGGAGCACTTGTGCTTTAGAACACTCCAACGTTTCACGGCAGCTACACTGGAGCATGGAATGCATGCCCCAGTCTCACCTAAGCCTGAATGGCGTGCACTAATGGATGATATGGCAGTTGTTGCCACGAAAGAATATCGCTCCATAGTTTTCCAGGAACCCCGATTTGTTGAATACTTCCGCTTTGTATGTATCCTTCACCCTTCTCTTACTTTTTGTCATCTAACTACATTCAAGCCATTGTAACATTATATCCCCCATTTTGAAAAAGTAGATAAGTTATTATGCTAGATTTGTAGCATTTGGTTAAATTATACTTGCCTGCCACCAATATAATGAACATTTCTATATTTGTTTTTCTTTTACTTATGAAACACGGACATGGATACAGGACATGAGATAGACACGATACAGACACGTGGACATGCAAATTTTTAAAAAATGAGAGACACGACACGTTGGGGACACGCTCAATATATATAATTTTATTTATTTATTTATTATATATAAAATTAAAAAAAATATATTTTTTATTTATTTATAGTATTTATTTATTTATTTTAATATTAAATATCATTCTTATTAATTATTATTATTTTACAAATAAAAATAATTTATTCTATATGTTCATGTTTAGCAAACAAGAATATTAAAAAAATATTAAAAAAAAAAGTAAAAAAGAAGGGAAAAAGAAGTTTTTTTTTTTTACCATAACAAAAAGGGTAAAAAGAAGAAATAACAAATAGAAGAGAGAGAGAGTCTAAGAGACAGTCAAACACACGAAGAGGGGAGTGAGAGAGAGAAGAAGAAGAACAGAGAGAGAAGATGAATAGAGACGAAGAAGACGAACAGAGAGAGAAGATGAACATGTTTGAAGAAGACGAATAAAGAGCACTGAACAGAGGGAGAATGAGAGTCGAACACATAAAGATTGGAAGAACATACCTCGATCTAGGGCTTCAACAGTTTCTTCACCCTTTCTCTTTCTCTTTCTCTTTCTCTCTCTTTGTGTCTTCAATGGTTAGGGTTTCTCTCTCTCTCTCTCTATCTCCAATGGGTTAGGGTTTCTCTCTTTGTCTCTAACATGTCCATAATGTGTCCAAGAGTGTCCAGCTGTAAAAATTCAAAAAAAAAAAAAAAAAGGAAAAATGCTAGAGACCCCAAATAATCTACCAAATGTTTTACCAAATCTCTGAGACCCACACAAACCCATGTGTGTAGGTCCCATACCCATGTGAGAGGTTTGGTAAAACATTTGGTAAATTATTTGGGATCTCTAACATTACTAAAAAAAAAAAAAGGGGACACATTAGGTAGAATGTCCGACACGTGTCCACCGCGTGTCCGACACATGTTAGTGTTCGACGTTGTCTCCGAAGATGGGTCCGTGCTTTATAGTCTTTTACTATCGTGAATATCTTACCTCATTAAAACCTTTTGGTTCATTGTTTTGAGGATCTTGCTGATTTTGTTAGTACAACTTGGAACCAATGATGTTTATTATAGAAATAACATTCTACGAAATTGATAATAATAAAAAAAAATACCTTTTTTCTTTCTCTAAATACTGCAGGCGACACCAGAGACGGAGTATGGTCGCATGAACATTGGAAGTCGTCCATCAAAACGAAAACCTAGTGGTGGAATTGAATCTCTCCGTGCAATTCCATGGATCTTTGCTTGGACCCAGACGAGGTTTCATCTCCCAGTGTGGCTCGGTTTCGGTTCTGCATTCAAGCATGTCATTGGTAAGGATGTAAAAAATCTCCAAATGCTCAAGGAGATGTACAACCAGTGGCCTTTTTTCAGAGTGACAATTGACTTGCTTGAGATGGTTTTCGCCAAGGGAGATCCTAAGATTGCTGCTTTGTATGACAAGCTTCTAGTCTCAGAAGATCTATGGCCATTTGGAGAGCTTTTGAGAGCAAACTACGAAGAAACAAAGAACCTTCTCCTCCAGGTAATAAATGAAAGAAAAATTGCAAAAAAGAAAAGAAAAAGGCATTTAAAGAACTTGGACTAAATTCGACTAAAATGGGACATCACAATTCACAGCAAAGTTTTCCACAAATTGTCATGCGTTCCATAGTATGTCATTACCAGGTTCATTTAGGTGAGAAGACTCTACCTTAGCCTCTCACTCCCAGCTAACATTTTTAAGCAATTCCTACTTCCTAAGTCATTCTCTTCATGATTGTAAGGATAAAACCATTAAAGCTATATGTTTCTTTTTTTGTGTGTGTGTGTGTGTGTGTGTGTGTGAGAGAGAGAGAGAGAGAGAGAGAGAGAGAGAAATGACCATTAAAGCAATATATTAAGATGGTGAAAAAAAAGGATCTAGAGTGCTAGGATTGGACACAAAGTATCCATTTAACCAAGTTTAATTTGGTTTCCGTAGGGAAAAGTTTATCATATCCCAAATTTGAGATAAATATCTTGTTTAGGCAATGCAAGATATTGGACACTTAATTTTGATCTTAGACACTTGTTAGTAAAAATCATGTTTGAGGTCAATTGACAGGCAAAACTTAATTTTCACAAAATAATAACAAATCAAGCAATGTGGTTTGAGTTCTATGCATTGATAAGGTCAAGAACTTCTTTGGAGGAAATAAACAAAGAAGAATGAAAAGAAACGAACTGAATTGATAATAATCAAATAAATTCGACTCTTGTCACAAGTTACGTGAACTGTAACAAGAACAAAGTACTTGAAAAAACACCAATCGACAAAGTTTGGAACTACTCCTAACAATAGCTAATGGCTACTCCTAATTCTTTGTAAGCTACTCCTAAAATATCACATATTTGTGAATGAGATTGAAGGTCCTTTATTCTTCGAAGCCACCACTTGTTGCAGCCACACATGTCCACTTGGTCCATGATCTTCCTTGATCTCAGCCCCACTCAACCATACTCTTGCTTTGCAGGAACTGTTTGCAGGTCATGCGCTTTTCCTTTTGATCTCAGCATACGCCCCAACTGATTCCAATGGCTACCTCTTTCGGCTTTTATTCAACTATTCCATGCCATGACATTTTCCATGTCATGTCACACCACCAGCACACCTGTCATGCCATGTCAGCACCTCTGTTGACAGGTGACATAAATTTTAATGTCAACAACACTACTGGGATTTATTTCATATCCCACCAATGCAAACTAAAGCACATTCAGTAACACATCAAAATGAAAAATATAATCACATATAAATTTACATAATTCGGTACAAGTTGCCTATATCGACGGGTAAGCGAGATAATCCACTATAAATTGTAGAGTATACAACCTTGAGACCAAAACCTGACACCCATACCCAACCCCTAAACCATATATGTTCCCTACTCAAGAGTAACTAAAGTCCTGAAGCCACACCCACTTTCCCGCTCACACCTGGTGTCCCTAGTATTTTTTCCGTCTCCCTTACACCTCTATGAACCCTCTCAGTCTGACAACCTTAGAATTTCCATAAGGCTCTTATTTATAGGCAAACCATAAAAATTCTAGTCCTATACAATAAATAAAACCCCACATACATTGGACCCCTAGTAGATTATGGACTCTACAACATAATCCAAAAATGTTACATGTATATCAACCAAGAACTGTATGGGTCATGCATAATACAAGACACACCCAGGGATGCTCATTTCCCTTGCCTCACCGCATCTAAAATGTTTTTTTCCTATGAAAAGTAAGAAAACATTTTCTAGACTGAAGTCTTACTAATGCTGTCACACTACGACTGCCACCCCACCCCACCCCACCCCACCCCAATTATATTTATTAAATATTTCTATTTTTATATCTATAATATATACAATTTAATTTTTTTTCATTATAATAAAATTAAAACACTAAAATATTATACTTAGTATTAATTTTTACTCATTTATTTTTTATGTTATATCTTATAATATTTATCAAGTATAAATTATTATCAGTAATGTACTATATATCTATAATTTTTATTAATATTCTCATTCTTCAACTTACAAAATTAACCCGTCTCCTGCCCTGCACCCGCTCCGTTCCCGTCAGCCCTTGATTTACCCCGTCCTTGATATGATACGGAGCGGGGGCAGGTTACTAGAAACCTGTCCCAAACCCGACCCGTGACCATCACACTAAGGGAGTACTTTGTAGCAGCAATGCTGTAGAAGTTATCGAAATTTCTTATTTTATTTTTCCTTTACCCCAAGCTTTATGTGCTTTACTTGTAGATTGCTGGGCACAAGGATCTACTGGAGGGAGACCCGTACTTGAAGCAAAGACTCTGTCTTCGTGAAGCATATATCACGACCCTTAATGTGTGCCAAGCATACACTCTGAAGCGGATTCGTGACCCCAATTACAATGTGAAGGTGAGGCCACATCTGTCCAGGGAAATAATGGACTCTACTAGCAAGCCCCAAAATGCAGAGTTGGTGAAGCTTAACCCTACAAGCGAGTATGCTCCTGGCCTCGAAGACACACTCATCTTAACTATGAAGGGTATTGCTGCCGGAATGCAAAACACTGGCTAAGGCATGACAGTTCTGTTAGCTAGTGTTCTTTACATATATGCCTAGTACTGCTCCTGTCCCAACAATAAATCCATATGGATATTAGTCTGTCTGTCTAAACTCAAGTATCTGGTGGTGCTTTTCGTCTTGAGGATTTCGTCCTTCCTTTTCTTCATAAATAAGTATATAACTACAGAAGGCATTGGAGATATGCAATAAGAGATAGTTATAATTATTTAAGATGAATGCTCTGAACTGAAACATTGGGGGTGTTTTTTTCATAATCGAAATTGGCATTTCCTTATCACTGAGGGGGTCAGGGACAAGTCATTACTCGATTAATGGAAAGGGTTTTGGTCATGGTGACTTCAGATAACATATTTTGTAGCTACACCTACCTAGAGATACCGTAAATTTTTAGATTTCTGCTACAGAAAATTGAATAGCATGTTTTTGCTTATTTTTGTAAGAAATAAAAACGAATAATGCAATTAAAACTAAGAAAATATGTAAAATTGTTGCCACGAGAGGGGACGGGGTCACCAGGGTTGACGGAAGAGGGGAAGGAAATGAAAGAATGTTTCTAAACAAGTTCTTGTGTAGTTCAAACAAACACATTCTTGTGTAGTGTTGCCAAATTTTCCCAAAATTTTGAAAGTTGTTACCGGTATCTTTTAGCAACAATTAGGTTACCAATGTTCTGGTTTTCATTTTTGGACAAGAATGGAGTTTATAATTGAACTTGTTCGCATATCGCAGCGAATTATGACTCTCAATTATTCTTTGTTTAGGTGTTGTTTTGGGAAGTTGGCAAAAATTAGAAAGTCACTAAAAATGTTAAAAGGTTACTAAAAAAAATAAGCCATACACCTTAAATAACTAAGGTGTGGTTTGAGATCTACTTTTTTTTTTTTTTTTTTTTTAATAGTAATTTATTTGACTTTTTTTATAAAGTAAAATAAAAAATTAATATGTTTGACAATGACTTTCTAAGTTGTGTACAAAAGGTGAATGATTAAGGTATATGACTTATACAAGTGTGGTGATTTTCCTCTCACATATGTGGGTTATGTCCATACTCCTTAAATGCTGAATCTATCAAGTTAATTTCGAGGGATTTGGTGATAGCTCCCTCACTATCTAATTTGTCTTTTAAAAGGACAAGAATTATATAAGTACTTTCAAAACCGCATAATATTTTAAAACTTGTTTCTTTTACTATATTACCCTCATAAAATTTTACTCTGTATGAAAGTAAAATTTTACTCTGTATAAAAGTAAAATTTTACACTCTGCAACTAAACGTAAAATTTTACTCTGTATAAAAGTAAAATTTTACTCTGAAAAACGAGTAAACTGTGAGACTTTGAAGTTAAAAGTAAAATTTTACTCTGCATAAAAGTAAAATTTTACTCTGAAAAACGAGTAAACTGTGAGACTTTGAAGTTAAAAGTAAAATTTTACTCTGCATAAAAGTAAAATTTTACTCTGAAAAACGAGTAAACTGTGAGACTTTGAAGTTAAAAGTAAAATTTTACTCTGCATAAAAGTAAAATTTTACTCTGAAAAACTAGTAAAATGTTAGACTCTACACAAAAGTAAAATTTTACTCTGTATAAAAGTAAAATTTTACGACTCTGAACCTAAAAGTAAAATTTTACTCTGAAAAACGAGTAAACTGTGAGACTCTGAACCTAAAAGTAAAATTTTACTCTGAAAAACGAGTAAACTGTGAGACTCTGAACCTAAAAGTAAAATTTTACTCTGAAAAACGAGTAAACTGTGAGACTCTGAACCTAAAAGTAAAATTTTACTCTGAAAAACGAGTAAACTGTGAGACTCTGAACCTAAAAGTAAAATTTTACTCTGAAAAACGAGTAAACTGTGAGACTCTGAACCTAAAAGTAAAATTTTACTCTGAAAAACGAGTAAACTGTGAGACTCTGAACCTAAAAGTAAAATTTTACTCTGAAAAACGAGTAAACTGTGAGACTCTGAACCTAAAAGTAAAATTTTACTCTGAAAAACGAGTAAACTGTGAGACTCTGAACCTAAAAGTAAAATTTTACTCTGAAAAACGAGTAAACTGTGAGACTCTGAAGCTGAGGCCCTTAAAAGTTCATGGCCGGCCAGTAATTCAAATTGACCCTTTTATATATATATATATATATACATATACACATATCTAGGGTAAGATATGAAGGTAGACAGCCATAGCAACCAGACTCAGAGAGTTGCATTCACCGGCCTCTTGGTGCTCCTCCTCCCAATCTTTTCCCGCAATCTCTTCGATCCCTTGGGCCGCGCTTCTCTTTCCATGTTCTCTGTACGTCTCTCTCTCTCTCGCGCCGCCGAATCTGCAGATTTGAACTTCTCCCCATCAAAATGGTGTAGATCTGAGAAGTGTAGCCAAGGGTATAATAGTCTGATAAAATATTTAAATAATAAATTTTGTCCTTTATGCAGGATTTTATAATTATGAGAGGGTTTAGAAAGTATAATTTTTTTCTTAGTCCTTTTAACAATGAAAGGAAGGTAAAGGGGGTTTATAGCCAAATTTCCCGTTAATTTCGGCCCTGCTGGAACCCCCAGTAGGGAAGGACCCCAGCACCCACCCCCGTGGGGGCTGGCAATGGATGAAAAAAAAAAAAAAAATTTTTTTTGGACCAATCAGGAGAGACCCCCAGTACCCCCACTTGGGGTCTCATGCATTTTCCAGTTAATTTATCTTATAAATGCTTGTGAAATCTAGACGTCATATTCACAAGTAATTAATTGTTTGGTGCCGACATTTAACTTGCCATTTGGAAGCTTAGGTAAATGAGTTTGTAAATATGGATTTCACAAATGCTATTTAAACAAAATTAATGTTGATTAGAATTTAAATGTATAATATCAATTTAAATTTGAGTGATTCTACTTATACCACTATTTTACCTCTTTACACTCTCAATCTCATTATACCACTAAAAAAAATGTAATTCTCATTACACCCTTAATATATTACCAAAACTAACTCTAAATTAACTATTTCATCTCTTTACACCACTAATTTTTGGAGGGAAAAGAGAGAAGCAGCAGAGGAAAAGAGAAAGTAGGGAAGACGAGGGGTTCAGTGGAGCCCACAATAAAGTGTTTGTTCGGTTACACAATACTAGACAATTTACATTCTTCTGGTGTTATGTTGCCGGGAAAAATAGGTTTGTCCAACGTTTTGTTGCTATACATTTACAGAGTCACTTTATTTCAAACAATAATTTGGACCTATTCGGTAATACAATGCTAACGAATTTGAATTCATCTAGTGCCATGTTATCAGACAATTTTTTTTTTCCCAACAATATGTTGTCGTTCGATTGGATGATAACAAGAAATTAATTCTAGTTAGTCGTGAAGTGCATGTTCGGTGATACATTACTATACAAATTGGATTACTCTAGTGTCATGTTGCCAAATTATAATAGATTTGTCGCGACATTTGTCGCTGTACATTGAAAGATTGACTTTTTCCTTCAAACATCCATAAATCAAACACGCATCCATAAAATCATACATAAAAAGTATCCATAAAATTATTCATTAAAAAATCAGTGTACGAATATCCATAAAAGCATCTATAAAATCTGTCATTGTTTGCATCTTTTAATCAAACATGTTATCACAATTTGTTTATATCGATAGTTTCGGTAATTACTACATCAGGGTTGACAAGAGTACGAAATTGAAGAATACAGATAGTATATGCTTTCACCCATCCACTAGCACACATGTGATGAAAACGAATCCAATTATTTGCTATAGCGACCTTGGTTTTGACCCGTCCCTTGTGGTGTTCCGAACTCGGGTTTGAATGGGTTGAATGGTGGTTCATGTCTTGTCTTCCTTGTCTTCTCCTCATTGTTGGTTTTTTTTTTTTTTTTTTTTTTTGGGTTGTAGTGTGTGTTGGAAAAGGTTGGTTGCTTGTTTTTCCAAACTCTTGGTTAGCCAGAATTTTGGCTCTCCGCTCGAACGGGCATTCTTGTGCTCGAGCGGGTTTATGATATTTTGCTCTATGCTCGAGTAGGCATTCGGGTGCTCGAATGGGGATTGTGTCTGCAAAAATACTGGGAGAGCGTATTTTACGCTCGAGCGTGGGGTTTCACGCTCGAGCGGGAGTCTGTGTTTGACGTTCGAGCGGGGCTTTCCACGCTCGAGCGGACCGCGCTTTATCAGCACGCGAAAGTGACATTTCAGATCACTTTTTGCAATCCTCTCTCTCTCTAAAAGTCTCCAAGATACAGATCTAGAGCCTCTCTCTTTAGGAACCATCTTCTCTCTTTGATTTCTCCAAATCCATTGGGATTTTGGCCGTAGTTCCTTCGTCAAAGTTGTGTAACTTCTCGAGGGCTTCGCTGTGTACGGTGGAGATCGAGTTTTATTGTTGTTGATTTTGAGGGTTTCAACTCTTTTCTTCTTCAAACTTGAGGTAGGGATTTTCTTTGAGTTATATATATATATATATATATATTTTTGCAAGATCAAGATGATTTTCGAAATCATCCTTTGATTAGTTTTGAAAATTTATTTGTTCATTCAAGAAAAAGAGTAATTTTGAAAGTGGGTTTACTATATGGTCCTTTGAGATAGAAATTTGGGGTTTTTGAACCATGTTGATGAAAGGAAGATGTTTTGATGAGATCTTCTCAAATACTTGAAGATGAATGGGTTTTAGTGAGAAAACCTAGAAATTGGGGATCTTTAAGAAAGATGTTGAAAATCTTTAGAATATGTTATTATATTTATTTTGTGTGCCAAAATAAATGATGGTTGAAAATTGTCTATTTATTATCAATAAATGATAGTTGAAAATTGTCTATTTATTACATATAAATGATGGTTTTCCATGGAATAAGTTAATTGTTGAAATTTTGAAAATTGTTATTTAAAAGTATTGATATAGTCCTGAAATGACTAAGTTGTTGTGAATGTTTGAAATGTGAGAATTATGTTATTCATTGGATGAATTGAAATAAAAGTATTTATTCATCTTGTAAAATTGCATTGAAAGGAGAAATGGGAATTTTGATCACAATGGTAGTATTGTGTGGAAGAATTGGAAATGGAAGAATTGTTGTAACGTATTGATTATTGTTGCATTGGCATATCAATTCATTTGATTACATTGAACTTTGAAAGTTGTTTTGAAAGCTCGCATTGAGAAAAGAATGTTGATAAACAAGTTTTCATGAAATGATTTTGAGGTAAATACAGTGGTAAGTCTTGAAAGGTAGTGTAGAGAATAGGTGTCGAGCCTTCAAGTCAATACTAGTAAAAATGACAGATTATGGGTGTCGAGCCCTCCAGCTGATACTGGTAAAAATGACAAATTGGTAGTAC